ATATATATATATATATATATATATATATGTATGTATGTATTTATATATATATACATATATGCATATATATATGTGTATGTATACACACACACATATATACATATATATATGTGTGTGTATGTATGCATATATGTATTTATATAAATATATATATACATATATATATATATATATATATATATATATATATATATATATATATATATATATATATATATTGATATATATATTGATATATATATATACGTATATATGTATATTTATGTTTGTGTGTGTATCTATATATCTATATACTTTTATATATATATACAGGGCCGGCCTTAGCTGTTGCGGGGCCCAGGGCAAAATTTGGGCGCGGGGCCCCCTGCAGGGCAAAATGATATTATTAAGAGATTGACTAAAGGAACGAGAACGCACTCGCAATGCGTAGATATCACTACAGCTTACAAAATTATTTTTCAATAAAATACCAATATTACTAAAGAAAAAATATTTTAACTGAAAATATATTTTACTATAATGTCCATGAGGACAAAAATTATAAAAGTTATGCTCGCTCGCAGTGTATATATATACAGAAAGAGAGACTATACTATAGCTCACAAAATTATAAATGTTTTTTCAAGCTTTCCTCTTACTTAAGTCATTGATCAATATGAAATAGTCGAAAACGGTATCAAAATGTCATTACAACTAAAGAAAAAACTTCAGCTGAAAATATATTCGCCATTATTTTACATGTCCGTGAAGATGAAAAATCATAAAAGTAAAGCTCACTCGCAATGCGTAGAGAGAGACTACTATAGCTTAGTAAAGCTTATGAAATCCAGAAAAATAGTTTTGTAACCACATGTCCGTGTTGAAAAATCCTAAAAGTAAAGCTCACTCGCAATACGTAGAGAAAGACTACTAGAGCTCAGTAAAGCTTACAAAACTATTTTTCTGGCTTTCCTCTTACTAAAGTCATCTATCAATTTAGAATAGTCTAAAACACTTGCAATTTCATTTTCAGTTGAAAGAATGGCCAAGCCACTGAGTCTTTCCTGCGACATGGTGGAGCGCAGGTATGTCTTTATCAGCTACAGCCGAGAGAAGCTGCGCTCTGCTGCAGCAACTGTGACTGGCGCAGTGAGAAAACCCGAAGAGCAACAAAGGTGTTTGGGTAGGCGTCTGTTAGTGAATGATCGATTACGTATTTCACCACAAACGTCGCAGAGGATTTTTCGGGGATTACATAACACAGAGAAATCAGCTCATCACACAAACCTTCACGGTCAATGTCTGTGCTGTCATTATGAGACAAGGCCTTTGCTAGTCTTCTGCAATTGGTCAGAACAGCAGTTCTGTTCGCATCGCGCAACGAAGAGATCTTAGTGAGAATCTCGAAACCACGAAAGAATGCTTTCAGTAGATCAAAACGTTCCTTCACAGATTGACTTATGGAATCAATTGCGCGTAGGAAGTAGTCTGTTTTGAACAGTTCTCGTGGGGTATGTGTTGCGGAATCTTTACCTTCATAATCAAACAGTCTTCGCTTTCGTCGAATTTTAACAGGCGTATATTCGCAAGGAACATCCATACTCGTGGCAATTTCTTTAGCTGTAGTTTCTGCAGCAGCGAAACCATGTTCTCAATAATCCTGGATCCATTCAAGGAAGCCATCAATATGTTGGACTGCTACATCCATCTCGATTCCAGGTGTTTGCCATGTTTTGCTCATGATGTTGACTTTGAATAGATGTCGTGCCACACGACAGTTGACAAAATAAACTCGAAAGACTGCAGAATGGTGCAAAGAGAAGATGCATCGCTCTGTGCCATGGGATCGCCGGGAGTGGTAGAGACTTGTTGCAGGACGTCAACAATGTCGGGGAGCTGCCTCCGGATAGCCTTCACACTTTCTATCCGACATTCCCAGCGGTTTTCCGAAAGAGCTTTGACTGTGAGACCCACGGATCCAACAGCATCCGTTAAAAGCTTCCATCGTCTTGGTGAAGCCGATAAAAGGGTGTAAATTCTTTGTAAAGTACCAAAGAATAAAACAGCTTTGTTGGAAGAAGCAGCGGCATCGCCTAAGACAAGATTTCATGAGTGACAGCCGCATGGCACAAAGAAGGCTCGTGGATTTTGTTGCAGAATGCGAGCTTGAACGCCGCAATTTTTTCCTCGCATATTTGAACTGTTATCGTAACCTTGTCCTCTGCAGTTACTCAGAGAAAGTCCTAAGTCTTTCACCTTCTGCAGCAACGTTCCTGCCAGCGATTCACCCGTTGTTTCATGAACTGGCATAAAATCAAGAAAATGTTCTTCAGCTTCACCTTTGCTTCCCACAAAACGAACGACAAGAGACATTTGCTCCACACGACTAACATCTTGTGTGTAGTCTAGAATGACTGCATAGTATCGAGCATCCTTGACTCGCTGAATAATTTCTTTTTTGACATGATCTGCTAGCATTTGATGAATTCATTCTGCATGTTTTTTCCGAGGTAATGATCCG